AATAATACATTATTTAATAGTTAACAGGGTGAAATGACAAGGACTTGTGATGGTGATATATGCCGGTGTCATATACTTTGCTTTTACACCATCCCTGTTCATAGTATCCATATTGGGGGTATCTACATCCTGGTCATAATCCCACCGGAAGCCATCAAAAGAGATGAGCAGGAGCTTGTGGGGAGCTCTCTGTGTCTTTGGAAAAGGGACAGATGTACTCAATAACACAAGAGAAGAGAGCAGTGCGCACAGAGTTAACATCTTCACTGCAGCTGGGCCAGGAAGGAAAGTGAACAACTGATATTCAGTTTCATAGAATTATAATATCTGAGAACAAAGTTTGCCCTGATATCTAATCTATTACAATCTTTACAATGCAGATGGATCAATACCTATCTGGAACCAACATTTCACAATGTTTACTCTGCAAGAAATACACACTATATTACCAAAAGTATTGGGACGCCTGCCTTTACACGCACATGAACTTTAATGGCATCCCAGTCTTAGTCCGTAGGGTTCAATATTGAGTTGGCCCCCCTTTGCAGCTATAACAGCTTCAACTATTCTGGGAAGATGTCCACAAGGTTTAGGAGTGTGTCTATGGGAATGTTTGACCATTCTTCCAGAAGCACATTTGTGGGGTCAGGTACTGATGTTGGACGAGAAGGCCGGGCTAGCATGTCTCCACTCAAATTCATCCCAAAGGTGTTCTGTCGGGTTGAAGTCAGGCCAGTCAAGTTCCTCCACCCCAAACGTGCTCATCCATGTCTTTATGGACTTAGCTTTCTGCACTGGTGCACAGTCATGTTGGAACAGGAAGGGGCCATCCCCAAACTGTTCCCACAAAGTTAGGAGCTTGAAATTGTCCAAAATGTCTTGGTATGCTGATGTCTTAAGAGTTCCCTTCACTGGAACTAAGAGGCCAAGCCCAACCCCTGAAAAACAACCCCACGCCATAATCCCCCCTCCACCAAACTTTACACTTGGCACAATGCAGTCAGGCAAGTACCATTCTCCTGGCAACCGACCAACCCAGACACATCCATCGGATTGCCAGACAGAGAAGCATGATGCATCCAACGCTTTGCATTGCACTTGGTGATGTACGGCTTGGATGGAGCTGCTCGGCCATGGAAACCCATTCCATGAAGCTCTCTACACACTGCTGTTATGCCAATCTGAAGACCACACAAAGTTTGGAGGTCTGTAGCTATTGACTCTACAGACAGTTAGTGACTTCTGTGCACTGTGCGCTTCAGCATGCGCTGACCCCGCTCTGTCATTTTACGTGGCCTACCACTTCATGGCTGAGTTGCTGTTGTTCTCAGTTGCTTCCACTTTGTTATAATACCACTAACAGTTGACCGTGGAATATTTAGTAGCAAGGAAATGTCACGGATGGACTTATTGCGCAGGTGGCAACCTATCACGGTACCACGCTTCAATTCACTGAGCTCCTGAGAGTGACCCATTCTTTCACAAATGTTTGTAGAAGCGTCTGCATGCCTAGGTGCTTGATTTTATACACCTGTGGCCATGGAGGTGATTGGAACACCTGAATCCAATGATTTGGAGGGGTGTCCCAATAATTTTGGCAATATAGTGTACATAAGATGTTACTGCTATGGTGTTTTTATAAAATAAAACTACAATGAATTGTGTATAAGGATAGGGCATACTGTACGTATAATACATACTGTCACATATAATGCAATAAAAAAATAGTTTCTTTTTCTGAAGGTAGGTAAAAATTGAACTGATAATGGACTGCCGTGTCCATTATCAGTTATGTGTTTGATTTGTTTCTTTTCCAGTCGCAGGATCAGAGCTGATCACTTCTAGTGTAAGGCTGGCCATACACTTTCATGTTGTTCAGCCCTGTGAACTATTGCATTCTGCCAGCGGCGGGTGTGCCACTATCAGCATACCTGAACTGGGACAGCAGCTAATTAGATGCAGCCTCTGTTCGTCTGAGAATTTTCAGAGGCTAGCATAATTCTTCACAGGGGAGATCAGCGAACAGATGTTCCCTGGTCTCTCACCACTCTCCAAAAAAACAATTTTTTTAAAGTCCCCCGCCCCCCACATAAACACGCAAACATACGATGGGGACGCCTATCGAAAATGACAATTGCACCTATTGTGCCGCACATGTTGCATATCACCGCGAACGTCGCAGTGTGAGCAATAGTTTTAGGGCCATTAATCACTGATAACACTGAGCTGATGAGCAGTAAAAGCGTTTGAAGCGTCGCCTATGGCCAATTTTCGGTGTGGTAGTTTTTTTTGCGATTTTGCGGACCCGGGCATAATTTTAAGGCTTGGCATGTTTGGTGTCTATTTACCCGACGTGACCCCGTCTTTTATATTTTACCAAAAATATGGGTAAGAATAAATGTTTTTAACATAATGTAGGGAAAACATTTTTTCTTCCGAAATTTTCTGAACTTTTTTCATTATATAGTAAAAAATAACCCCCCTGCCCAGTGGTGATTATATACCACCCAAAAAAAAGCTGTATGTGTCCCTAAAACTTTTTAACATAAATTGCAAGGCTATAGTCCGGTCATGCTGACTGGTGACATTTTTGACTCACTGGTGAAACACGCTAACATTTTTCAAGCCCTGAATGTAGGTGTTATCCCAATTTGCCTGAACAAGTGGATCTACACTGTAAGGATGGTATTCCTCTCCGCTAGAGCTACACTAGAAAATGAGAATTGTATTCTGCATTGGGTTGGGGGAGAGGAGCGTGAAGTATTTTATGTCCGAATTCAGTGCAAACCCTACAAAGCGAACAAATCAAACAACATTCATTAACTAATATGTACAGTAAATACCCTATAACTGATACCGCCTTGCTGTTGACTTTGTCCTTTTGTAGCATGTGTCTAGTGACTCTCCTCTTCTTGTACAACTTTAATCCCATTAGCCATGTGCACCAAAGAGCACACACTTACCAGTTATAGATATGTGTACGTATCGCATCCTACAGTATCATACATGAGAGCTACAGTCCCCTGATAATTGACTCATCGAGCAAAGGTTAAATCTGTTTACTCAGGTAGCATTGTTTTAAAAATTGTTTCCTTATAAAAACATTCTTTAACCCTTTAAAGAACTCCGGGCTAATTAAATCTTAGCCCTTGCAGTGGGGCTACCCCTGCACTGGAAGGGTTAAGTGCTCATTCTGTCTAGGGAGTGAAAATAACAGAGATACACTCACCTGAACCTCGATCCTGCCTGGCTTCTAGGACAGTCCTTGCAGCGTTGCTCCCCCTCCACTCTGGCGATCTAACGTCCAGTAAGTCTTCACTTCCTATACATTGTATGGGACATGAGGACACCGAGGGCCATTCCAATCTGGAGTGGAGGAGGAGATAGGCTGAAGAGACCGATCTAGCTCAGAGATGGGATTGTGGTTCAGATGAGTACACCTCTGTTATTTTAGCACCTTTGACAAAATAAGCACTTAACCCTTGCAGTACAGAGCTAGCCATGCTGCAAGGGTTATGATTTAATTTGCTTATAGTTCTTCTTTAACCTCCCTGGCGGTCTGATTATTTCTTTTTTTTTTTTCCTTTTTTTGTTCGATTTTTTTTTATTCCCGCCGGTTCCGCCCCCCTGCGACGCGGACGCTCACAAGGGACGGAAGACAGAAGACGGATGCCGGCATCGGCCGCAGGACACAGCGCGGCTCGAGGGACAAGGTGAGTAACGCTACTGTGTAATCCCGAGTGTGGCTCGAGGTTATGGTACTGAAAATTAACCCCGAGCCACACTCAGTGAAGGTTAATATGAAAAATGTTTCCAGAGCCCATTCTTATATGTTTGTGAGCCTCACAGACAATACTTCTTTAAGGGCTTGTTCACACCAAATGTAGACCAGATCTGAATGAGTTTCTGCACATGCAGTGCAGTGTGTTTTGCCACGTTTTTGCCGGGTTCCGGGCCGTTTTTGTAAAAAATATATTTTTTTTTGCCTAAAATGGGCTATCAGTCCGTTCCAGGGTGTTTGCTTGTGTTTTTCATGCGTTTGCATGCGTTCCAGAGCAGGAAAAATAGGGCTTGCTGCAGTTTTTTTTTTACCTGCTCTGGAACTGAACGCTGCACTGTGAACTAGAGCCCAAAGTACCATTGGAATACATTGGACGCAGTTTTGATCCGTTCTGTAACTGCTCTGCTCCGCACCTGGGCTATCAGTCCGTTCCAGGGTGTTTGCTTGTGTTTTTCATGCGTTTGCATGCGTTCCAGAGCAGGAAAAATAGGGCTTGCTGCGGTTTTTTTTTTACCTGCTCTGGAACTGAACGCTGCACTGTGAACTAGAGCCCAAAGTACCATTGGAATACATTGGACGCAGTTTTGATCCGTTCTGTAACTGCTCTGCTCCGCACCTGCTCCGCACTTGGTGTGAACTAGCCCTTGATATTTATATATTTTAAATTCTTCATTAGAATGTGTCACCCAGAGATAACAGGTGGAAGCAAAGCTTTCCAAAGTTATAGAAAGCACGATGGCTACATTGAGGCAGTTAAGCTGGCCATACAGCAATCCATTTCTTTCGCTCAGCCTGTGGGTACTGATAAATGTTTTTATAACATAAAGTAGCGAAAACAGGTTTTTTTTTTCCAACATTTTCGGAACTTTTTTCATTATATAGTAAAAAATAAAAACCCCAGTGGTAATTAAATACCACCAAAAGAAAGCTTAATCTGTCCCCAAAAATGGTATAACATTAATTTCAGTACAGCGTTGCATGACGGAATAAATGTCAGTCAAAGTACTGCAGCGCTGAATACTGGAAAATGGCCTGGCCAGGAAGGGGTTTAACACCCCGGTCTTGAAGTGGTTAAAGAAGCATTCTTTGAGGTGTAAATATCATGTCCACATAGAATTATATTATTCATTTACTGGAAAGAAGTTGTTTTTACATTTCCCCATGAAATATATCAGTTACACTTTTTATAGAAAGGTCCCATAATCTCATAATGATTGTAGAAAACATTGAAGTCTTTTGAAATGTATAGAATATATTTTTGAAGCCAGACATGATCCCAGTTATTATTATTATTATACAGGATTTATATAGCGCCAACAGTTTGCGCAGCGCTTTACAATATAGGGAAGACATTAGAATCACAATACAAATCAAGACAAGATGGTAAGGAGGACCCTGCCCCTGAGGGCTTACAATCTAAAAGGGAGGCACGATGTTAGCTTCTGAAGTATCTTCATATCTAAGTTACGTAATACCAGAG